ATAGATAGATAGATAGATAGATAGATAGATAGATAGATAGATAGATAGATAGATAGAGATAGAGAGATAGAGAGATAGAGAGATAGATAGATAGATAGATAGATAGACAGACAGACAGACAGACAGACAGACTATGTACAGGTAGTCCTCGACTTACAACAGTTCATTTAGTGACCGTTCAAAGTTGGAATAGCACTGAAAAATATGACTTATGACCATTTTCCACAGTTCAACCTTTGCAGCATCCCCATGATCATGTGATCAGAATTCAGATGCTTGGCAACTGGTTCATATTTATGAGCGCTGCTGTGTCCCAAGGTCATGTGATTCCTCTTTGCGACCTTCTGACAAAGTCAAAGTCAACGGGGAAGCCAGATTCACTTAACAACCATGTTACTAACGTATCCTGCAGTGATTCACTTAACAAGAAAGAAAGCAGGAAAAGCTGTAAAATGAGGCTAAACCCACTTAGCAAATGTCTTACTTAACAACAGGAATGTTGGGCTCAGTTGTGGTCAGTGACTACCTGTATATGCATACATATGTACATACATACACACGTACAAATATCAGGAGTAGGCAAATTGTTGCTGTCCAGATGCAATCACAACAGTCTTTTCAGCCTTAGGAACTGCAACTGGAATGTTCAAATTTCTGGGTGACATTGGATTGTATATTGATGCTGCAGTATGAAATGCAATCTATCTTTTCTAGACAAGTACAATAACTTCAGAGATCTTGGGTCTTATCTGGAAACAGATATGTTTCAGATCTGAGCTGTGAATCACAATACAAAGGAATCCAAATATATAATTATTGCAACCCTGAAAATAGCATGGAGCCATTTCTTAAAAAATAAGAGGTAGAAAAGATTCTTCTAGTATTTTTAATTTGCAATTTAGCTGTAATATAGAGATGTCTGTCTTGTTAAAAATCTAAGAAGTAAAACAGAATTATGTAACTCATTTCCTATTAAAAAAATAGGACGTTTCAACATTTCTTTTTCTCTGTGAAAAATTAAGCAAAGCTGTGCTCCCAATTAAAAAAAACAATCTGAAGGATAGACTAATAGTAATTATGAATCTAATTATAGTATATTATGAATATAATTACAATCTGAAATTCTAAATGTTGATCTTACCAACAACAAGTACCAAAAAAAGGTAAATCAGATTTGAAGGGTAAGTGCTAAACCGGTCTGCTCACTACACAATGCCTTGAATAAAAATTGTTGGAAATTCATAAACTCTAATCGCAGCAAGCTTTTTGAAGAACCAGAAAACATAAATGTAATCAATATAAATATCGGGTCATTTTTTAAAATTGTCCAGCAATTTTAAATATGTATAGAAATGTAGGGACAGCTTTAGAGTCAATGCAACTTGGGATGATTCATCTGAAATTTTCTATCTCTGTTGATGTGTAGTTGTTGTGGTGCTCAGGCAGCTTTGTCTAACTTGAATGCCTGCTAAAGATGTGAATTTCAACTCCCAGAATCCCCCAATCAGCATAACCATTGGTGAGAATTCTTGGAGCTAAAGTCTACAGCTGGACTGGAGAGCATCTGAGTTGGGGAAGGCAATTTTGAGATAGTCATAAATCAGTCAAGGCATTGTGATTTAACTCATTAGTTAGGCTATTCTTAGATTTAACAAGATTTCTGAGATAGAGCAACAGAAACAGCTATGGATAAGAGCAAGGTTCCAATTCTGAAAACCAGTAGATGTTTTTCTGGGAGTAGGGGTTATGTTGCATCTCCAGTCTCCTGAACAGGGTCTGCTCGTTTTCTTAAAATGGTTGAGTTTTCTAACATTTCTGAAACAATAGATTAACTCCCATTTCAGGTAGCTGTTGGTACTGTATGCATCTGATTTTTTTCCTCTTTATTTTTTTAAGCAAAGATTATATGATGAAATTACTTAGGCTGGTCAAGCCATTCTGTTTTTTGACTATCTTGTCTGAGGATGACTGAAGATGTTATATTCCTTGTGTTTTAAATGTTAAGGGAACAATCTGGAATATTTTTATTTATTGTATTTAGAGACTATCCATCTCCCCCATAGAATGACTCTGGTTGGTATATATCCTTCCAGTTCCACTTATACCATTTTCTTTCTGCCATAGACTTCAAGACAAAACAAAACATGATAATTGCATTCCATTTCAACCTTTCAAAAAGGTGTGATTACTTTAAAAGATACTGAATTTCATGATGACAGGGATAGTGCATGAGTCAGGGGACAACTCTGTACTTCCAGCTATTAGCAGTCTCCAGAAAATTCCAAAATCCTGCATGAAATGTTGATAAAATCATAGAGTAGATCTTGAGAACTGAGTTTCAATATATTCCCCCACATCACCTGCTCTGGATCAGTATGTCTGATTTCTGAATACAATTATGAAGATTATGTTGTGGGGAGCTGCTGTGATATATAGGAAGGGTTCTAGATATTTTGGGGAACAGAGGGAAGGAGGGAGAGAGAGAGAGAGAGAGAGAGAGAGAGAGAGAGAGAGAGAGAGAGAGAGAGAGAGAGAAAGAGAGAAAGAAAGAAAGAAAGAAAGAAAGAAAGAAAGAAAGAAAGAAAGAGCCATTTTATATAGAAACACTGGGAGGCAGCATTGCACCGCTAAAGGACACCAGCAAATCAAACCAAAGCCACATTATAACTGAAGGTGAGAAGAGAATGCGAACTTTGATAGTAGTATGTGCAATGCATAATTTAGAAGTTAGTATATAAAATAACCAAGCAAAAAGTCACAACTAAAGTCCATTGAAATAAAAAGTATAAATTAACTATGAGTGATATACTCCAGTGGTATTTCTTTTGATTTGATTTTGATGCAATCACTTCTTGTTAAGTTCTGCTCCTTGTTGGCAATGATCTGTAAAAAGCTCGATAAGGTATTTGACTTTCAACAGGATATGAAAGATTTGCTTAGAATTTTACTGCTTGATGGCAGAAATGGAAATCAACTAAAATTGTATCCTCTCTCTCTCTCTCTCTCTCTCTCTCTCTCTCTCCCTCCCTCCCTCCCTCCCTCCCTCCCTCCCTCCCTCCCCCCTCCCCCCACCTCTCTCTCCATTCAAATAGGTAAGAAGTTTTATTTCACACCAAGGCAGGCTAGTCTTGAATTCTTAAATGCAGGGAAAGTTGCCTAGTTGATTTTGGTAGTTTTGCAATAGTAACACACTGCATCCATTGTGACTGGATTTTTTTTTCTTGATATTATAATATTTAAAACCCACTGTCAAGTTAGTTACTTTAATCCACCTGAGTTTTCCCCCTCTTTTTTTCTTAATTGTTAGCTATGTTGTCAGATAAAGAGTCCTTGGGAATTCAAAACTAACATGTTGCGTTAAGGTAGCATTTTAAAATGTTGGATAGGAGCACTTTACCTTGGGCTGTAACTGCCAAGACTGTAGAGCCTAGCATGGAGATAAATCATGTGGTTGTGACTGTTGTCACCAAGGCTTAGCCAGTGAAAAGTATCAAGTCCCCAGTGTCTGAAGTTAAAAGGATTTGTAGCAAGGGGTACAGTGGTGGGATTCAAAAATTTTTACTACCGGTTCGTGGGCGTGGTTTGATGGGCATGGCAGGGGAAGGAAATTCTAAAATCCCCATTCCCTCCCCACCCCACTAACCTGCTTTCCAGCTCCATTTTCCTGTGCAGGGCAACAAAAGAAGACCCAGCGGATCAGCTGGGACTCGAGAGAATAGATGAGGGAGGGGCCAGTCAGAGGTGGTATTTGCCTGTTCTCTGAACTACTCAATATTTCTACTACCGGTTCTCTAGAACTGGTCAGAACCTGTTGAATACCACCTCTGAAGAGGTTGGAAGGAAAGTTGTTCAGAGAGTTGGTTATTTGAGTATACAATATTGAGCTAGAAGAGATCTACCACAAGATTGCTTTCTATATAGTGTGATTGGCTTCACTGCACTAACATGTTGCTTGAATTGACCTTAAATGGCTTGAAGTCAGAGTGCAGATGGATCACCTTTATATACAAAAAAACTTCCTTTTATTCTTTAATTCAGGGTAGATCTAGGGCAACTGAATGGATCTGAGCATTTACTGGCTGGATGCCCTTCCTGACACCACACAGAGTTCACAGCAAATATTTTTTCTTTGTGTCCTAGGAGAGAAATATACAAATGGAGTTGAAATATGTTGGGTTGACTATGTTTCCTCCTTCCTTCCTTGTCCACAGGTAGCAGAAATGAAAGGACTTTGGTGCTTCGTTGCTGGATTGCTTTTAATGATTGCTCAGAGCAGCTGGCAAAGCCCCATTCAAGAGACAGAAGAGAAAGCCAGGTAAATGTCTTTTTTTTTTTAATGCAATAGAAATCCACATGTGGACAGTGGATTGTTCTTGTATTAGAGGGCAGACAGAAATGGAAATTCTTTTAAAACACTAATGCTTTTTCCCCCTACATCTAAAAACTGGATAAGTCAACAACATGTCAAGTTATTAATGCTTTCCATAGTTCTTATTGTTGTCTAAACAGCATCTATTTTTCCTGTTACTCTGTAGTAATTAGGCGACTAATGACCCTTTCTAATAGCAGTTATTTTTAGAATGCATCTATATCTTTGAAGGAGGTCGATACACCGTGCAGCACCTTTCAAATGTGCAATCTTCAGTGCAATTAATTTGTTACAAACCACACTTATAGATCATTCAAAGCTTCCCAGGCTGAACCATTAGATGACCCTAGACAGCTGAATGAAGTGAAACGTCACTCACAAGGTACATTCACCAGCGATTACAGCAAGTACTTGGACACCAGACGAGCTCAAGATTTTGTACAGTGGCTAATGAACACTAAAAGAAGCGGGTAAGCAAAACGAATGCCCAACCTTACAATCAACCCTTACCTCACTGGGAAATAATTTCACACACAAAATACTTGATCACAAAGAAAGGCATGATGAAATATATGGACAGATACTCTAGCTTATTAAGTTTATGCATAAGATTCACCGAACTTAAGCAAGACTTAAGAGCTTTGCTGTTCGTCCATCCATCTATCCATCCATCCATCCATCCATCCATCTGTTCATCCAAAGTCTTCCATCAAGCCCTCCATCCATTCATCTTATCCATTCATTCTAATTTTGCAACCTATCCTTCTGGGGTCAGGTCAAATAGAGACATGTTTCATATATTGGGAGTTATCTGAGGAACTGTTTCTTCATATGACAACTTTCTCATTCCTTAGCCTAAGATTTGAATATTGGGTACATTTCAAATGTGAAAAACAGATATTAATTAATGGAGGATTATGAGCATTCTCTAAAACGAATGGGGATTATGCAACAGTGACTACTGTCCATATGTGCAACTTCCATATAAACGAAGAGGAAATAAATAAGAAAGTATTCTGATGGACAAATCACTAGCCCTAGTAAAGGTATTCCCATTTTTGTGGGGCATAGTGGGTCTCCTTGACGACATAAAATGAAATTTAGATAGACAAGACCTCATAGTGTATGAGGTCCATAAAGGGCAGAATTCAAGACTATACAAGTACAGGTAGTCCTCTACTTATGACCACAATTGACCCCAAAATTTCCATTGCTAAGCAAGACACTTGTTAAGTGAATTTTACCCCATTTTACGACCTTTCTTGCCGTATTTGTTAAGTGAATCCTTGCAATTGTTAAGTTAGCTGTTAGATGAATTTAGCTTCCCCATTGTCTTTGCTTGTTAGGCCACAAAACGTATCACACAACCCTGGGAGACTATAACCGTCATAAATACATGGCAGTTGCCAAAATGTCCAGATTTTGATTACGTGACCACAGGGATGCTGCAATGGTCATAAATGTGAAAAAGGTCATAAATCACTTTTTAAAGTGACATTATAACTTCAAACGGTCAATAAACAAATGGTTATAAGTTGAGAACTATCTGTATAGGTTTCAAAAGACTCGTGGGTGCAAATCATGTGACGTTAGCCCAGCTTTCCCAACTTTGGTCTCCTGTATGTGTTCAACTTTATTTTCTAGTAACAGATAATCAGGGTTGGAAGGGAAGTCATCAAGTCTAACCTTCCCGCCCAAGCAGGAGACCCTACACCATTTCTGACCATCCAATCTCTACTTGAAGGTCTCAAGTGATGGCACTCCCACAACTTCCGAGGGCAGGATGTTCCATTGGTTGATTGTTCTCACTGTCAGAAAGTTTCTCCTTGTTTCCAGGTTAAATCTCTCCTTGTTCAGTTTCTAGAAGCTTAGGAAAGACTTTACCTGTTTGAAGGATGGTTATACTGTAGATTCTGATATAAGCATTGCTGGTTCTTAATCCAGACACTTCACTGCTGGCATGTACCAAAAGAACTTACTCTTTAGCTTTACATACCTTAAGACCAAGTACAGCAGCTCAAATTGTTCAGCTTCTCTTTTAGATTTAGTGTCCATTGTTAACTTAGGGTTTAAAGTTGATGTCAAGTTAATTCCATTTCAAGTAATTTACAGATTTGTTTAAAGCCATGAACTCCCACTCAGTTTAGTTTTGTTGGAGTCTGAAGCCAAATGTAATTGTAATCTTACAAAATATCATTTTGTAATCAGTACATTTGAAATTTTATCTGCAAAATATATACAGATGTTTATATAAAATCACACCGATTTATACATTCCACAGATTTTTTTTTAACTTCAAGTAACAATATACTGTACCAGAAGACATCATATATACAACATACACCAATACTGTACATTCAACTACAAATTAAAAGCATTAACAACCCTCCTGGTTCAAAGGCTTAACTATTCTGATATGTTCTTCTCCCATAAAGCCAAGTAGATTTTAAAGAATCCTTTAACTCAGACACTGTCAGACTTCGTACCAGACTTGAGGCTAAATCTTTCCAAGCCCTCAGGGGCGTTAGCTTCTTGGCAGAGATCTTATCTCTAGCAGCATGACTAGATTAGTTTCTTTACTGTAGGCAAAAATGAAGCTATAAGTCCAGAGTAAGTGGGTGCACTTGCTTTGTGTATATATACATATATGCTTCCGTATACGTAATTGCACCTATCTATAGGCCAGTCCTCCAGGGTTAAAATCCTAGACTTTTCCTGTCATTTTTCCAAGTCAGTGGAAATTGTTCTCTTTCCTGCTATCAAGAGATACTGGGCTATATTGATCTAACAATTCTTGTAAGCTTGGGGACATCTAGTTCACCTTTCTACCTAGAGTTTAGAAACAGAATGTTTATAAAATTAGAAGATATAGTATTGCCACTATGAATAGCATTCTTTGATACCATTAGCCAAATCAGCTGTGATTTTAATCAATCTCTGGTAAAAGAAAAAAAATCCACAGAAGAATTTCTTTGATCTGTCCTAAGTTTTATAGTATTACATTCCATCGGATGTTTCTGCAGTTGAAATATTGAAGGTTGGTGGAGTCCATTTTCTTATATCATTCAGTTGCCATGACTTAAAAACAAACAATTTTTGCCATTTTTCTGTATTAGGGAATTGGAGATCATCTTCTTGATAATTTAATCAGTCTTTTCTCCAATTTCCTCAGTGCTACTGTGACATTTTGGAATTATAGCAACAAAAACTACTGCACAATAGATTTTTATGAAAGCAGTATAACATTGGCAGTTTTATTTTTCAGCCATTTCCTAATGATCTCTAACACAAAATTCACATTTTTCACAGCTTTTTCACAGCTTGCTAAGACATAATTTAGCCTGTACAGTCTCTTCTATAATGGCTTTTCTTAGAGCATGAAAATTTGCCAAGTGTGCTGCGTGGGTGTATTCTGTTTAGGGAAGAACTGGTGAGTGTGAAGATAAAATTAAAACACCTTTTCCCAGCTTTGCAATATCCTTTTCGAGGAGAAGTGGCTAGAACTGTACGCAACATTCCAAGTATGGTGGCATCATTGTAAATGTATATCTGCACTATGATACTTAAAGTTAAAATTTTGAGATGGTCCTTAATACAGAATTTATCATTTTACAATTTTCACATGCTGGTTAATTTTAACATCCTTTTCCTGGTTAATATCATTTCCTAATTTTTGATTGAGGATTTTTACTTCATGACACAATGGGCCTGTGTACTATAATCATATTTGATACTTTAATGCCTATTGCTCCAATCTGGCAAATTTTTTTCAGAGTTTTGTATGTTGATTCTCTCTTATTTTACACATGCACATATATACACTTTCCAATAGTTTAAAACCACTGTCCTAAAATGTGCTTTAAAATCTATCTAACGGACGTATAGCAAAAAAAAAAGAAGAAGTTTTAATAAAACTATTTCTGAAAAAGTATCATTTTAAACAATTGATTGAAAAAGTTTTCCAGATGTTCTAACTCAAATGTAGGCTCAATCTGGTAACCTGCTAGAGCAGGGGTGTCAAACTCATGTCATCAAGGTGTCATCACGTGACGTATTGGGACTTTTTTCCCCTTTGCTAAACCGGGCGGGAGGGTGGCCAGTGTGTGACACATCCAGCCCGTGGGCTGCGAGTTTGACAGTCCTGTGCTAGATGTTTACTAGAAAACAATTGAACTAACTGTTAACCATTCTCAAGCAGAGCAAGGTATGTATAAAAGATATACTGGAATATAATGACATTGTACAGCGTTGTAATACAATCAGCAAAACTGAATGTTGTCATATTGTAGCATTGATTTCCAGTCTTTAAAATAGAGCCAGTTTATATATCTATATCAATATATGGTGTTTCTCCCAAAGGAAATGTCTATTAAACCAGAACACTAAACTTGTTCATCCATCCCAACATAATGAATTCACACAAACAATGGCTGCTTAGTGTCTGTGGAGATTTCCAGGTCATCGTTGTCTCAAAGGTACTTTTTCAAAAGGCACCTGGACTGTTTTTTCCATGAGGAAGAAGATGTTTGCTTCTTGTCCAAGAAGCTTCTTGGACAAGTAGCAAAATATCTTCTTCCTCCTCAAGGAAAAAACCAATCCAATTGCCTTTTGAAAAAGCACCTTTGAGACAATGGCTGCTTAGAATTTTGAACAGATCCATTTTTAATCAGCTGATAAATGACTCTTTTAACTGGAGATATCCTACACTGAATTAAGGACTGTATGTAAAGTATTTACCACTGAACTCTGCTGAATCTTATTTCTGCTCTTATACATGCAGAAAGATCTTAAAAACTAACGCTATGCACAATGACTTTAGAGGAAGCTAATTTTCCTTCTACAAAGTTCTTACCCAAGAGCATCCTAGTTTTGTTTCTCGTTAATCTGCTCTGCTTGTAGACAGCATACAAGGTTCTTGTGCAACACGGCTGCCCAGTATGAACTAAAATATGTTATATAGATCTGTGATGATTGATCTTAACTGAGGAATTTAGAATCAAAGTTCCCTAACATACAGTCTGAGGAGCCCTTGTGGTGGTATATATTGCTAGAACCGAGAATAATGTGCAACTTCCGAAATTAAGTTTATGGATTTTAATTTTATTGCTCATCTCTTCCAATGCTTGTTTCATTCACCATTTCTAATGCTGACAGTCAAAGTAATTTGGTACTTTACTGTCTCACTCATCAGTATTTGGGTCATTGTGACCAAATACTTCATCCTCCATTGTTTTTTCATGATCGTGTATATTATTTTGCTTCTCTTATGTCTCCTCACAGTTTCAATAACGTAATTGTTTCATCTCAATGCCTTAATTAGATGTTGGTTTAAAAATGTTCTTTGAGTTTCCCTAAGTCAAATTTCTTATCGTTGTCTATTGACCACACGAACTTGTCTGTGCAATTTTAGTGGCAACAGGAAGGAAGTGATTAGGCATTATCGATTAATTAAATCAGGCTGAATTATTAA